GCTCCAGGCACTCTTGGATGAAACTGATTATCTGGACCCATTTCAGTCTGGCTTCAGACCTGGGTACGGTACTGAATCTGCCTTGGTCGCCCTGTACAATAACCTATGCAGGGAAAGAGACAGGGGGAGTGCGTCCCTGTTAGTTCTCCTGGACCTCTCAGTGGCTTTCGATACCATCGACCATGGTATCCTTCTGGATAGGCTAGCGGGATTGGGAGTTGGAGGCACCGCGTTGCGATGGTTCCGCTCCTATCTCAATGGCCAATTCCAGAAGGTGGTGCTGCGGGACTATGGCTCTGCGCCATGGCAGTTATGCCATGGAGTTCCGCAGGGGTCCATTTTGTCCCCCTTGCTATTCAACATCTACATGAAACTGCTGGGAGAGGTCATTCGGAGGTGTGGGCTGTGGAATCATCAGTACGCTGATGATACCCAGCTCTACCTCTCATTTTCCACCAATCCAGGTGGGGCAGTGGCTGTACTAAACTGGTGCCTGGCCAAGGTAATGGGCTGGATGAGGGCCAATAAACTGAAGCTCAATCCAGACAAGACGGAGGTCCTGTTGGTGGGTGGTTTGGGCTTCGGGATGGGGGACTTGGGCCTTGTCCTAAATGGGGTTGCACTCCCTCTGAGGGACAGGGTTCACAGCTTGGGAGTGCTCCTCAACCCTGAGTTGTCAATCGAAGCTCAGGTGACGGCGGTGGTGAGGAGCACCTTCCTTCAGCTTCAGCTGATCCTTCAGCTGCGTCCCTTCCTGGAGAACGACTGCCTGGTGACAGTGACACACGCATTGGTAACTTCCCGATTAGACTTCTGTAATGCGCTCTACATGGGGCTACCCTTGAAGACGGTCCGGATACTTCGATTGGTGCAGAATAGAGCTGCCAGGTTGCTGACAGGGACTGGGTGTTGTTCTCATATAACCCCAGTTCTCTGTCAGCTTCACTGACTCCCAATTGAAGTCTGGACCCAATTCAAGGTGTTGGCTATGACCTATAAAGCCCTTAACGGCTTGGGACCTGGTTATCTAAAGGAACGCTTGCGTCCATATATGCCCTCTCACCCCTTGAGATCGGCAACAGATGCCCTTCTCCGGGAACCCTCTGTGAATGATATTAGGAGGGTGAGTACGCGGAGGAGGGCCTTCTCTGCAGTGGCGCCCCACCTATGGAATGCGCTCCCCAGAGAGGTCTGCCTGGCGCCATCATTATTTGTTTTTCAGCGCCAGGCTAAAACCTTTTTATTTAAAACTTATTTTAACTGTTAACTTATTATGTATTTATAGGTTTTAAAATTTTTAAGCCGAGATGTTACTGAGCTTTTTAATTTTTAATTGCATTAATTGTTATTTATTTGTTTTAATTAAGTTGTGAGCTGCCCCGAGGCTTTGTTGCAATGGGGGCAGTACAGAAATGTTTTAAATAATAAATAAATAAATAGATAAATAAAAATGTCTTTGCCTGCAGACAAGAGGATAATAAAGAGGGAGCTAACCTTCCCTCTGGACAGAGAGTTTCACAGCCCAGAAGCAGCCATTGAAAAGATGCTCCTTGGGATGGCAATAGGGCAGCTGCCATGGTAAGTGTCCTGCATTTCAAAATATACCACTACCGCAATGCTGGACACATTCTGGGGTTTTCCACCTTAGTCTCTGTACAAGAAAAAACCAACACCTTTTGCTCTTTCAATTGGAGGAATACTTTCTAATTAAAAAGTAAACCCTGAAAACAAAGAGTATCTTATTATATCACTCTTCGAAGATAGGAGAATGTGTCTATTATATAGGCAACCAATTTCTCAATAATAATGGATGCATAAAAGCATAACATAAAACTTTTTCTCACCTTATTATAATGGATAAGGTTCCACCGTTTATCCATTAAAAAATAATTGGAAGATTGGGATTCAGGTATGTTAAAAAATTCCAGACATTCCTGTGATGAGAAAAAATAAACATCAGATTCTATCTATTAATCAGGCTGAATAACAGGCATATGGGATAGTATATTCTTTGTTCTGGGATTAACTGTGCTTTTTATTCAATGTGGTTATAATTTTCAATTCAAAAATTTACATAAAATGTTTCCCTAGAGAACGGTGGTGACATCTTTGTCCCCCTGCCCATAACAGAGGGACTTTAACTACAAGTCTTTCAGGCCTTGTGCTGTAAAGAGAACAGACTACAATATTGTGCACAAAGTGTACTATGTAAATAGAATACATATTCAACCCACTAAATATTCAAAATGATTTAAACCATCTTCTTTCCCCCTTTTTCTTCTCTTCCACTTATAGGACTGCCATTCTGCTGACAGAACTGCTTTTATCAAGGGAACCGGCAGATGCGATTACTCCCTCCCCATGCAAGCTTTCTACATATACTGCTCTGTAGCACTGCAAAACAATCCAGGCACTGAGAAAAACTGGTTAGGAAAGAAGGATAAAGCCCCGTTGCATTAGAGGACTTCCACTAGCATGACCTTGGATTTAACATTTATTCTTATTCTTTTCTTGCATCATAGTAAATAGATCTGATCAAATACCAAAAAAGGCAAACAGTGACTATGATATTAGGGTAATTCCTTATTATCTAAGTGGGATTTGGTTAGTTATAATTGTAAATAATGCGGGGGTATGTATAGGTGCAATCTTGGAGTTGGTTTCCAAATCACAACTGGAATTAATATGGCTTATTGCAGACACTTACCTTACCAGCACTACATCTCATTTGACAGATCAGCCATGATTCACCCCTGTCCACTACACAGCTTAAGTACAGTATGAATTGGGTGCTGCATGAGATCTACATGCATAATGGCCCTGTTCACACTGTGTTCCTCTCCCCATGCCTGTTTTTGCGAGGGTATGAAACATACATATGTGCCTTTTATATAGATGAAACTTATTTTTGAGTATCTACCTCATAGCTTACCTGTAATGGAGGGAAGAAGCACACATTTCCAATGTACAAACTGGAGTACAGGCTGGCTAAGTGCTTGAACTAAAGATCTATAAGTGAAAAGGTTCTACACTAAATCAGGAAAATCTTACCAGGTTATGCTGGAGTTGATGGCACATGCAGATAATGGATCACGTAACAATAATGAAACAAATATCAGGTAATGAAATGAAGATTCGTAAGGTTCTGAAATACTGGTGGATTTGAAAATCTAGAGATCAAAATATATTGCAGAAGAGTTTTGATTAAAATAAAAATCCAGACCTTTAAAAGAGCTTCAAACTGGGTATCTTCATGGACTGGTAGCTGGGTTGGAATATCACATTCATTTTGTCCATGAACAACCAGAGTCTTCGTACCTTTAAAAAGCAATATAATATAATAAGATCTTAACAACAATTGAGTCATAGCATACTTGACTGTAAAGTGCCATCACTATTGGCAATTTTAAGCCTATGGTACACAGCTCTTAGGGAAAAACGAGTGAAGTACAATTTGGGATTCACTAGTCAGTATTTCTGTGTTTAAAAAAACATATTTCGTCCTTCCTACAAGAAACTCAGGGACATATAAATGGATCTTCCTAAACACCCCATTTTATCTAACTTTGTGTACTAGCTGAAGCCAAGAGCTTACTATGTCACTGGAAGCTGAAACTGAGTCTTTCCAGTCGTACAACATGCTTGATCTAATGAGTGAACAGTACTCTCTTATTCAGACACACCAAGAGCTAAGAAGGCAGACTAATCCTGTTTTTTCTGTCATTTGTAGACCTGTAGAAGTGTTTTGCTGTTACTAATATCTTACATGCATTCTCCAAGGGGGTTCTAGAATTAACCATAGAGCTGATGCAGAAAATGGTATTTCAGAAAGTTGCATTTTTGTCAAAGAAGAGTACTGATGGATCATTTTAACTGTGGTCCACACTATGCAGAGGCAGTTCATATAGAACCTGCAACACACACACACACATACACCAGCCCATGGGATTTTTTGCTCTTCTGAGTCTGCTTCATGAAAGCTTGGGCCTCACTCCCAAGCTCTGGTCAACCACATGTCCCTCATGCAAGCACAGCAGGCACAAAGAATGTTCATCTGTCAGCAGCAACATTGAGCTGCACTGCACACATTTGCAGAAGGGGGCCTTCACTGCCACCGAGAAGGAGATGAAGAAGGAAAGAGAAAAATAAAGAAAAGAGCAAGGTGTATTTTGGGATAATGTAGGGTCATAAAGAGAATTTTACTTTTCATTTCATTTTTTAAAGGTGGATAAAGACAAGACCAGTTTGTAAAAGCTAAGAGAAAACTCATCAGGAGAAGTAATAATAGGTTTATAAAGAAAGATGCTAAAATGCTCAAGGAAAAAATGCTCAGGATTTAGAGATTCAATGAAGAACTTCCCAAGGCACTGAAGGAGGTGGAAGAACTGAGGGAAAGGGTGGGAGCGCCTCCCTTTTATAACAGATGCCAGGGTTGGGGAGGAGTTTCTGCTAGTACATTCTTAGTTGCTAAATCTTTCTGGTGATGGTCTCCACACAGGCTAGAACCCGTATGAGCAATGCACAGAATCCATGAAGAAGAGTGTCACTTTTGCACATGAGCACAGGTCTCCAAACACTGTTGTTGATGCACTCCATCCAGTCCATTTGCACAGCCAAGTTGGAGGAATTAAATAAGTGGTTCAATCAGCCAAAAAAGTTTCCCATCACTAACGTACAAGACTTCAACAGAGATCTGTTTAGAGTTTTGTTTTTTTTAATCATTCTATTTTACATTTGGAGATTCTTTAACCAAAATCCTGTGCAGGCATTCAGCTTGCTCAAATGAAAGCTAAAAATGAGGGATAAAGCAGGGTATCTGATCTCACAGACAGTTCAACTTGCATTCAAGAGAACATGAGCAGAAAACTTCTTCAGACCTTTCCCCTTAATATGGGAAGAGACTGCATGCAATTCATCCCTTCCCACTTTGCATCTTTAAGTGAAATAATTAAAAAGGACAGTCTTCTGAAAAAAGCAATAGCAGCACTGGTTCAGCTGCAAATGTCAATATAAAGAGCAAATTCAGGCAAAAGGCCCCACTATGTATAAACAGAATGGATCCCATACCTGGCATTGAGGCAGTAACAAGCAGCTTTACTTCACACTGTTCCTTTTTCATAGTCTGCTTGAGATCCTTGAAGAAAAGTCCTTCCACATAGCCCACTACTTCCCAAAGAAAAGTCAAAGTTGCTGAAATGGCATCCATTCCCCATTCGCATGGCGTGCGCACAAAATACATAATCAGTCCCACCTATAAGTTACAAAAGTATATAGCATGCTTGGTTTAGTTTTGTAAATAACACACTGGATATACAAATCAGAGACCCTTTGATTTCAAAGAATAATGCAGTCTATCTTACTGTTACCAGAACCAGCAAGTCTGGACCAGTTCTTCCCAGGTTACTTTTTGTGCATGTCCCCACTGAGTCAGAAAACAGAGTAGCAAATGGCTCTAATCCGCTGAATGTACTACAGGCAGATATAAAGGCTTTGGGCTGAATACCACTGGAATGGCCTTATTCTTCTGCAGCCTTCTAAATTCTTGGAGAGCAATCCATTTGCAAACATTAAAACATGTTTTGGGTCCACATTATTTTCAATGTTCTATTTTCCTGTGGTAATCATAAGCATATCAGTATCAGAACAAATGTTACCACCTGAACCGATTCACCTTGCATTTGATACACTTTCAAAAAGTGTTTCCTTGGATTGTGGTAAATTCATGCTAATTGTGTTTTTGAACATGAACTGTAACAATTTGAAAAGTAAAAGTCAATATTAACTGTATAAAAAAATGGGATGATGATGATGACAACGAAGACGACAATTGGCTGGCCATGTAAAAAAGGCAGGTTGCTTACCTGTAACTGTCGTTCTTTGAGTGGCCATCTGTGCATTCACACATATGGGTGCTGTGCCTGTGCAGTGTCTGCAGCCGGGAAAGATTCAAAAGCCTAACGGTTTTGGCAGGAACTCTGCACCCCTCCCCCTCATAGTATAAAAGGGCGGAATGCCCGCCATTTCCCCAATCTACTGAAGAACGACTGTTTGCCCCCAGGTGGAGGTTGTAAGCACTACACATTCATCTATAATGACATAAGAGAAAAACATGCTCTCAATGAGGCACAATGACCTAAGTAGGTATACATGCAATTGCATACAAAAACCAAGTCAATAAACCCAGTCACCGACACTGAGTGGGGCTGGCAAGTGGGTTGTGTGAATGCACAGATGGCCACTCGAAGAATGACAGTTACAGGTAAGCAACCTGCCTTTCTTTGTCATGGCCTCTGTGCATCACACATATGGGTGATTAGTAAGCTTACCACACCTGGAGGCGGGACGGTGTCATCACTGAAGAACTGAAAAGAGGGCTGTGCGGCCGAAGGAGCAGTCCTGTCTGGCATGAACAGCTAGGCGATAATGCTTGGCAAATGTGCAAGGGGTAGTCCAGGTGGCCGCCTTGCAAATGTCATGCAGCGGGATGCCAGCAGGGAAGGCAGAAGATGCCGCAACATCTCTTGTGGAATGGCCTCTGGGCATTACAGGCAGCTCTAACTTGGAGAGCTGATAAGAAAGCTCCTGATTGATGTGAAATGGCGAAACAGGAAAGCCGGGTCGGTGCGGAGAACAACTCTCTCCTTGTAGAAGTTGAGGTAAGAAGGGTCATGTGAAGAGCACAAAGTTCACTAGACCTTCATGTGATGGCTACAAGGAGAGCTGTCTTCCAAGACAGTAGATGCAACTCGGTAGTAACTAATGGCTCGAAAGGAGGTTTAGTGACCACTTGCAGAATGACAGAAAGGCTCCATGTTGGTACGACTGATCGAACTGGTGGCTGGAGATTCTGTAATCCTCTCAAGAAGCACTGGATGAGAACATTGGAAAACACTGACGAACCCAATGCTGGGTCATGGTAATGTGAAATAGCTGCAATGTAGACCTTAATGGAGGAAGGTTTCAGTCCAGTCTGATGTAGAAACAGAAGAAATTGCAGAATGTTTTCAATGGAAGCCAATTGAGAGGCAAAGTGGTTAGTATCAGCAAATGAAGTAAAGCGCCTCCATTTAGCTGCATATGAACGGCGAGTAGCAGGTCTTAGTGCAGACTGAAGAATGAACTGTATGTCAGGATGGAAAGCGCTTGGATTCGATGAAGAGTCATTCCATGTCGTTGAAGATGAAGATATGGCCATGGCAGAGAGCCGCTGGGTCAGCATCAAATCCAACAAAGCTGTCGGTGTCAATGAAGTAGCAGAGTTCATTGAATGAGCCAGGCTGTAAGATTCAACAAATGAAGGTCTGGATGCTGAACCACATTGTCTTGTTGAATTAGAAGATGTGGAATCTGAGGAAGCTGTTGAAAAGTGTTGTTGGAGAGACGAAGGATGATGGGGAACTATGGTTGATGAAGACACCAAGGCATGATGAGGATCCCTTAAGCATTGTACTGATTGATTTTGTAAGTACAATGCTTAAGGGATGAGGATCCCTTAAGCATTGTACTGATTGATTTTTCACACTCAAGCATTGTACCTTGAGTGTGAAGGCCGGCACAGAGGGCTCCCCATCCCGTGAGGGAGGCATCCGTGTAGAGAGTCAATGTCAGTTAAGGTAGATGGAATGAAGTTCCGATGGATAGATTGTCCTCTACCATCCACTGTTACAAAATCGGAAGGATGGAGGTAGGCAGGTGAAGCGGACGATGTGGAGAGTCGCGCTGTGGGTGAAAGAGGAGATTGAACCATAGCTGCAGTGGCCTGATCTGCAGTCTGGCACTGGGAACCACAGAGACGGTGGAAGCCATGTGCCCAGCAGCTTCTGTTTAGACAGAGCAGGTACAGTCCATGTGGATTCGATGGATGAATGAGCGAAGCTTCTCCTGACAATCCCAAGGAAGAAAAGCTCGTGCACGTAGAGAATTGAGGTGGGCTCCGATGAGGTCAATGATCTACGAAGGAACAAGGCAGGATTTGTCATGGTTAATACAAAGTCCGACCTCATCAAGGAGGAAGCATGTTGTACGAATAGCCGATAGAAGGCCTTCTCTAGAAGAGGAGATGATCAAACAGTTGTCAAGGTATGGGTAAACATGAATTCCTTGCAGCTTCAGTTGGGCAGACAGGAACCATGTATTTAGTAAAGACCCTTGGTGTGGTAGCAAGCCTGAAGGGGAGGATGTTATACTCAAAAAGATCGGAGCTGACTGTTAAAGCGGAGCAGTCGCCTGTGAAATGGATGAGTGCTGTTGTGGAAGTAAGCAACCTTCAAGTCCAGAGATGTGAACCAATCCTCTCTCCTGAGCAATGGAAGAATATTTTGAAGGGTGGTCATTCAAAATTTTTTCATCCTGATGAACTTATTGATGCCATGTAGATCCAATATCAGGTGCAGACCACCGTCCCATTTTGGGACCATGAAATATCTCGAGTAGAAACCATGGAGCCCCTCAGAGTGCATGAGTTGTTGAATCGCTCCTTTACAAAGCAGCTGGGAAACTGTCTTTGAGGACCGAAGAAGAAGGCGTATATTGGATTGGTCCCGAAGTGGGTACGGTATCAAACTTGATTTTATATCCGTGCTCCATGATTGACAAAACCCACCGATCAGATGTGATGGACTCCCAAATGTGTTGTGCCTAACAGCTCGACAGAGGCGTTGGCACGCGAGAGAGGGCCAGAAGCTCACAGTAAGTGTCAGGCCTTGGAACAAGGGGATTTATACTTGGTGCCCAGGGCCCAAACAGCCCCTCTGCAGCCCGACTCTGAGGCTTCCGAGCGAGTAGCCTCCCCACATCCTAGCTCTGAGTTGTTTGAGCAGAGTGCAGCTTCCCTTCCTCTAGACTCTGAGGTGTTTGAAGAAGTTGCCCCCCCCCACCTCCTGACTCTGAAGCTGCTGGGCAGAGTCCTGGAGAACAGGAAGATGTAACAGGAAATTTATGGAACACTCAGCTCTGGATAAGATTAGTTAGACCAATAGGGACGGCAGCAGAGAAGCTTGTCCCACCCACGGACAGAAAGACGTGAAAGGAGATTGAGATCCATGTGACTTTTCTCCTCAGAGTTCAGAAAGGAGGGGGCAACTGAGCTGCGAGGAGCTCATCGCCAGAGCTTATCTATTGCATCGTAAATCTTGTAGCGAACAGCAATAAAAGTATTTAGTTTTATTGCCAACTGCTGTGTGAGTTAATTGGAGACTTGAGCTATGGCCTCACGACAAAATGAGGAGTCGACTCTGCAGTCAGTCCCCAAAAGAAAGAGGGGAGGGTGGGTTTAGGAGGAGAGGAGAGGTTCACTTGACCTGTCAATGTTGCCGCTTATTGGAGTCGGGGTGGCGGCAACCCAGTTGATAGCGCAGCACTGGCTGTTTGCGATTGTGCTGCTGACAGGTCTGGAACTGCTGCTGGCTGGTGTACTGTGGGTAAGGTTGATACTGGTTCTGTGGATGAGACCTGGACCACTTACGTCAACTCTGGGCAAGAACTTCCATATGTTGAGCAGGGACGCGAGCCTCATGGATATTCTTCAATTTGTGGTCCGTCTTCATGTTGAACAGCCAGAGCCATCAAAGGGCATGTTCTCAAAACCTTCTTTTGGTCTCATCCGGTAAGTTGCAGTTCCTGAGCCAGGCATGACAACAGAGGGCTGCAGCACCAACGAGAGCCCTTGAGTTGCAGTCGACATGATGCCTCGCCGTAGAAAGTTGTTGAATGGTCCACCTGCATTGCCTCTCAAATAAACATGTGAGCCAGGTCCCTCTGCTGCTCCAGAAGTGACACCATGATGTTCTCCAACTTCTGCATCAAGAAGCATTGATATCTCGCCAGTATTACCTTGTAGTTGGAGATATGGAGGCCAAGACCTGTGGCGGCGTAGATATGGCAAGCCATCTTGTCAACCTTTCACCCTTCCTTGTCTTGGGGAGTGGAGTGCTCCCTGGTCTCATGGCCCTAAGATGACTCCACAACAATAGAGTTAGGCTTGGGATGACGCAGGAGGAACAGGATGTCTTGTTCCTGTACCCTGTACATTGATTCATATCACCGTGAAGTTGGTTGTGGCTAGTTGGGGAACCGCCAGGATTCAGTCATGGGGTGGCACAGTGCTGTAATCAGTGGCAGGATGATGGCAGAAGATTGTTCCTTCTTAACAATATTGTAGAAGTTGTTGGTACTGGGATCGAAGAAGTGCTGGGCCTCAATCTCCAGTGACCTAGCCAATTGCACCATCAGTTCCCCAAATGTAGAGTATGACTCCTCAGGTGAACTAGGGCCTTGCACTGTTATCACCATGTCCGGTGAAGTCGACGCTGCTTCTGAGTCCTCCCAATCCAAGTCATACTGGAATGGAGGACTGAAAGAGGAGTCAGCCAGCAAGGAAGGGTGCCTGGGTTGGACAGCCGCTGACGTCGAGGGAGCCTCTCTTGGTGTTTGTTTGTTTGTTTGTTTGTTTAAACCATTTCTATGCTGCCCCATTCATAAAAAGCCTCGGGGTGGCTTACAACATTAATAAATCAACATAAATAAACAGTTATATAATTAGACTTAAAAAACCAGAAACATCTCGGCATGTACATAAAAACCCGATAAATTCAGTTCATAAATTAACAATTAAAATAACTTTTAAATAAAAAGGTCTTGGTCTGGCGCCGAAAAACAAATAACGACAGTGCCAGGCGGACCTCTCTGGGGAGCGCATTCCATAGGTGGGGTGCCACCGCAGAGAAGGCCCTCCTCCGGGTACTCACCCTCCTAATATCTTTCACGGAGGGTTCCCAGAGAAGGGCCTCTGCTGCCGATCTCAAGGGGCAGGAGGGCATATCTGGATGCAAGCGTTCCTTTAGATAACCAGGTCCCAAGCCGTTGAGGGCTTTAGAGGTGATAACCAACACCTTGAATTGGGTCCGGACTTCAATGGGGAGCCAGTGAAGCTGACAGAGAACTGGGGTTATATGAGAACAACACCCAGTCCCTGTCAGCAACCTGGCAGCTCTGTTGGAGTATTGGAGACGAGATGGAACGGTGTGGATGCATGGATGGGTAGTACCCGTAGGGTGGGTAATCATCCCAAGGCTCCCGACAGGAGACACTGTAGGGCATCTGCACCCAGTGTCCGGAAGGCCAACTGGACGCACACTGCTGCTGGGGCACCTGCTGAGGCGGGGCCCTTGGGGAAACCTCAGGAGAAGGCTGCGGTGGAGTCGGTGAGCATGCCATCGGAGAGGCCATCTGAGAAGAGTCCCAGATCTCTCCATCAGAAATGGATCCCAATAAGACTGCCTCCTGATGGTCCAGTGAAGACAGGGCTGATGTAGCGATCTGCTGAGGGGACCCTGGCGGGGTCATCTGCATGACCAGCTGAAGGATAGGGCCGGTCAGTGTCAGCATCGATGCCGCAGTCGGGACTGACAGAGCAGATGACCCCGAGTCTCAATGATGGGGTTGGTCGGCCTTCTTCAATTTATGGGGTGACTCATCTGCCCTGTCTTTCTTGGCCTTCTTATGGACTGAGGACTTATCCAATCTGCTATGCTTCCTCTTCTCCTTTTGTTAGTGAGGAGAGCGAGAGGAGCGATGGGCTTCCGGCAAAATCACTCCATCGGCTGATGGGCGAGAAGGAGAAGCAGCTGAGGAAGAGGACTGCTAAGCGGGCTGGGCCGCAAGTTGGTTGGAGGCGGCTAGAGCCTGGTGCCATAACATTTTACGTAGGGAGTTTTCGCGGTTCTTGCAAGCCTGCTTAATAAAGGCCTGACAATGTCCACACTTATCGATTCTGTGGCCTTGTCTCAAGCACAGAAGGTACGGATCATGTGGATCAGTGGGGGACATCTTGGCCCCACACTGGGAACACTTGCAGAAAGTCGCACCTGAGCCATCGAGAGAAAATAGAGGATAGCAAAGTAAAGGAAAAAAGAGTAACGATGGAAGGGTTTACGTGTGTGTGTGTGTGTGTGTGTGTGTGTTGGGGGGGAGGGAAAAAGGGGTTTTAGAAAGAACTTCTAAACGGGGGAGGGGAAGGCAATGTAACTTGGAAAGGAGATCTTAATGAAGGATCTAACGAGAGAAAAGAGAACAATAGAAGGCTTTTGAACAACAGCAAGTACATCTACGGCAAGAGACAAAAGGCTCGAGGCACAGCGAATGGCAGTTGGAAGAAGACTGGGGAAATGGTGGGCACTCCGCCTTCTTATACTGTGGAGAGGAGGGGTGCAGAGTTCCCGCCAAAACCGTTAAGCTTTTGAATCTTCCCGGCTACAGGCACTGCGCAGGCGCAGCACCCATATGTGTGATGCACAGAGGCCACGACGACTAAGAACATGGCTTATGTTGGCCATGGAAAAGTACTGTGGTCTTATGTTCCTCCATGACCCTCACCTGTCCTCTTCTTGTTATGTGCCACTTTCATTGTGGAGACCCTGGCTTGCGTTTATCCAAGGTCCACATAACACCCCAAGTCAGGAATTCTGGCTTAAGGCACAGTCCTGTGTGTGTAAAGATCTGAAATAATCCTGTAACTTCCAACATGCCCCAGTCACTGTGGCTTCCAGAATGATGGGACTTTTCCTCCATGCTGCCTGAAAAATGATGGACGTTATAGGACTTTTTCCACATAAACATGTGCAGGATTGCACCCTTAATGTTGATTAATAAACCAAGAAACTAAGCCAGGACCTGCCTTAATGCAGATTAGGAACTCCATGTCAAAGCAACCTACAATGTGAGAAGGGGAAGAGTGAGGAGGGAGGCATGCATGGCCACGGTGCTCATTGATAGCTTTCTAAGGGAGCCAGCATTTTTAGTGTTGGACTTTGGGATACAAGGGCTGTAGTCCCACTCAGCCATGAGGCTCACTGGGTGGCTTTAGGCCAGTCACAGACTCCTAGCCTGACCTGCCAGAAAGGTGAGGACAGGGAATGGAGGATCATGTAAGCTGCCTTGGGCTCCTTGAAGGAAAAAATGGTGGGATATACATGTAATATAAAGGAATAAAGTATGTTTTCTGAAGCTGGAGACAAACAATGAAATGCAGCCACTGTAAAGGGTACACTCAAATAACTTATCTGTCATCAATTAATTCTCATATCATTATTCTAATATTAAAATTCTGAATGAATTATTATGACTTCTGAACCCTGATATTCACATTTTACAAATGATTCAAGCTACACAGTAGGTATAGTATGATACCATACCATACCATACCATACCATACCATACCATACCATACCACAGTAGATATGATATGGTACACAGTAGGTATAGGTATGGTATGGTACAGTGACTATGAGTGTGAACTAGGAACTGATAAATCAGCCATTTGAATTTTGCCTCTTCAGGAACTCACTAGGTGGTACTTTTCTCAGTCTCAGTCCCTTTTTCTGCAGTACTGGGGTAAAAATACTGACCTATTTTAAGGAATCGTTGGATGGATTATAACAAGACAACATAGATGAAGCACTCTAAATCACTCTAAAAGCACTATTATGCTAAGCATTATGCTTATTATTCCTATTTTACTATTATTTCATTAGAAAGAATTATGCTGAACTTTCCCTAGTCTATGCTTCTATGCACTGGACTACAATCCTTCAGGGAAAAAACATCATAAATAAGGAGATTTTGTACAGCTGCAGAAAATAAATGAAACACTGAAAATATTCTCTTCATTTTCAGAAAACAAATGCCAATGAATTATTCATACACTATTTTCTTGAGTTGGACAGTAAATATGACAGTATAATTTAAAAGTCACACAATGTTTATGTTTTGGAGAGGGGTGTACATAATGGTTCCAATGAGAACTCAGAACTGCCTACCAAGTAATTAAAGAGAATATGAGATGTCTGAGCAGGAAAGTCTCCAATGTTGAGCAGAAGTTTCCGCAGCATGTACATCAGTTCATCCTGGAACGAGAGCAGAATTTGCTTTTCAGACTTTCTTCACATTCTTTAATTAACTTTCACTCTTTCTATCAAATTGATGTACAAACTCATGATTAGTTTCAGTATGCCTACTAGGACTAGTAATCATGCCCCAAAGAAGTGGTGGCAAACTCTTTAAAAGTCACAGCAGTGCAAAGTGGACACCTTTCCCACTCAAGATAACAACATTCTCCTTTACAGGATAGCTATTTCAGCATATTATGAAACCTGGACTGAAGATCTAGTTATGGATCTTAGTCTGTTAAAGATGTTTTAACTAATTCTATACTTTGTTCGCATTTGGACATGACAAACTATGGTTTAATCTGCATGTCTAACTATATCAGAATCCTAAAACATGGTTAATCTTAACTATGATTTATTAAAACTAGCCACACATTTGAAGTTGTCTTGTTTCAGTAAACCATAGTTAAGACTAACCACAGTTTGGGTTTGAACATAATGCTGATTTGTGTTTAACAAAAAGGAAGAAGTAAATCTTCTAAACTCCTTGCAGCCATGTCAGCAAAGGACAGGGGAGGAAGAGCACACAGGGCTAATGATCCAGCGTTTGACTGAGTTCTTCTAAGTAAGTACACCAGAAAGTAAGGCCTCTACCTACCTGTCGATTACTGATAGTTAGTTTCTCTAGAAAATGCCGAAGAACTGTAGAAGGATCTTCAATGAGACAGTTCCATAGGACTTGCTGTGCCACAGCACTCACTGTACAAAGACAAAAGGTGAGAGATAGTCTTGGTTTGACTTCAAGGAAAATAAAATTTTAAAGAAGCTGTCACAGGTGTCTCTAAATGTAACATCTACTGAACTAGGTCCAGGTCTGACACATATTATCTGTCCCAGCCTCCTGAGCCTAAACAGCTTGGTTTTTGTGTCTCCCTCTTTCATCCACATACAATTTCAATTTGCATTGTACACCATAAATTATCAGAGTAAATTCTGTACAAAACTTAAGTTGGTTCTATACTAAGGTCCTCTAAGCACTTTCCTACCTATGTCCCAGGTAAGTATGCTCAGAATTGCAGCCTTACAAAGATCTTTCTATAGGATCAGCATACAAGTAAGTCGCATTACTCAACAGTCCTTTGCAATGTTAATTCAAAGCTTCCTCTTTGCAGGTTCAGACCATTTCATTGCTTCTTGATTAGAGCAGCTGTGGGTTTATTTAAGAAATGTTCCTTAACTGCTTCCTATTTAGTCAGCTTCTATTTCCTGCAGGAGGGAGGAAGTCAATTGTTGGTTTTCTCATATTGTTATTTTTCTGTTTTTTCCTTTGATACTGAATCAATCAACAGGGCACTTTTGAATAAAGGCACAATAACTGTTAAAAACCACAATAGTCTGCTACAGAAGCTGGCACCAGAACTGTAGAGAAATTAATCACAAGTCAGGTCTGAGAAAACACAAGAAGACAATACAGAAATGTACTGGAATATACTGATTTAATAATGATGTCTGATACCTCTGTTACAAGTGAATGAACAAACAATGGCACTTCCAGAGAAAACAGCAACCTTGGAAGCAATTCCAAGCACACTTATTGGGAAACGTGTATCAGATCAGACCAGGCAGCAGCAAACTCTTTTGTTAGGTCTGATCACTGAATCCCTATAGAGTGCTAAACCTAGTGGATATATTTTAAGGGTTCCATACTCATTAATTATTCCAGAAATCTTTGATATATAACAACACCTGCTACTCCATCTTCCCGAACTTCTCCATCTTCCATTAAGTGAACAATAGGGAGCACAGCTGCACAAATACAGGCTGGGAAGACTGCCTGTGGAGGTTGAGGGACATGATGATTTGGGGTGTGTTCTGTTGTGTGTTCTTCATCTAGAGGAAAAAAAACATTGTGTAAGTGAAACGCCCCATATAGTTATGGATCTCTCACTATAACAGAGAGAGCCAGTGTGGTGTAATGATTAAGAGCATGGGACTGGGACTCAGACAATCTGGGTTCTAGTCCCCGCTCAGCCATGTAGCCAACTGGGTGACTTTGGGCCAGTCACACACTCTCAGTCCAACCAACCTCACAGGGTTGTTGTGGGGATAAGATGGAGGAGGAGAGTGATGTAAGCTGCCTTGAGCCCTTTGTAGAAAAAAGGCAGGATATAAATCGAAAAATAAATAAATAAATACATAAATAAAAAGCATTGCAAAGATAGAAAAAGAAACACATTTCTATTCGGCACCCCAACTCAGTACTGATTAAGAGTTAATTCACACATCCAAATAAAGTGCAGAGAATTCAATGAATGAATCACTATTCTGAATTGGAAAAAAACCTCAGACACACCACAATAAACAGCATAAACTTCATTCAAGTATGTCAACCAACTGAATTCTTTTGAATTCCTGAATTAGCTCTGAGGTTATGCATATATTACATGAACCAGTTTCATCAAGCTCCTCCATCAATCGTCACCAGCAGTTATTCCACCTGATTTCACAAAGAGAGATGGGAAGCAGGGCCATTCTTGTTGACCCTGCTGAGAGACCACCTCCTGTAAAATCCTCCCTCCTTCATCTGTCCCCTTGACAACTACCATTCCAACAGGCTGCAGCAAAGCAAGAGATGGGACTGCAGAGCCATTCTATTAGCTCTACTAGGGCATCAGCTCCACTTAGTTTCTCCGCTGCCTGAACTGTTTCCATGCTAGCTTGTTGTTATAAAAACAGACGATGGAACAGTGCCTGATTTTACGTATTGTCTTCTTGCTCCCCATCACTTTTTCCTTTTGCTTTGTGTTTTAGATAGCAAGTATGCAAGCATCGACTGTCCGGTTTTATTCATCTAAGGTAAGCTGTTCTGGCAATCTAGTATAATTAAATAACTTAAAGCAAGAAAAGTTGGAATAAACATTTAATAGGACAATTCATAACTTTTATATAGCTTTACCTTCAGCACTGACTGCTGAACGCACTGACCATACTGAGCCACGACGAAAGGAGTAGTTCCTATGAGATGTACTAGAAGTGCATGATGGACTCACAGACAATCGGCGAGATGCCAGGTTGGAAACTTCTTCTACTGACAATACAAATACAAAATGTGAATTTTGGTTTATATGTTCTAGGAGAAATCTACCACTGATCTACTGCAAAGGTAGTGATCTGCAAGAGCAGAGAAAAAGATTTAAGAAAACTTTACTTGGACCTAGAGTATAGTACATATTTAAAATTTCATTCAAAATGAAAACTTTAAAGTTCAATGACCTTCTTTAGAAGTAAAGAGATGCTACAGTGGTGGAACTTTCAGAATTCTCTTCTGAACAATAGGTAGACAGAATGGTAGAGCTCAGTGTGGGAAGAAAAAGCATCTTATAAGGGCCAAGAATGATCTGACATTTGCATGACATTGCTTTTAAAAGTGAAAGTGAGAGAATCTAGATTGTGACTATGCTAGGTGGAAGGAAACCTTAATTCTTGAACCTTGCTGTAGTCCCAGTACAGATTAGAGGCCCTGTGGCTGCTGCTGCACTGGGCGGGAAACTCTTATTGGCCTCATCTTTGATTGACACACTTAGCAGCTCTGGATTACTGTATTACAGCTTTTCATGTCCTCTTTTGGGTTTGCACAGTCTCCTGGTGTGCCCATTCTGCCAAGTCTACCTATGCCACAGCTATTAACATAAAAATGGACCACTAGCCCCACATCAGCCTTCCCAATCTGGTTCTTTCCAGATATTTTGTGCTTCAACTCCGACAATCCCTGTCAGTATGGGCATGTAGTCCAAAACACCTACAGAAAATTTGAGGAAGCCTGCCCTAAATATCTAATCACTGATGTCATTTTTATTCAATTATTGCCACCCTATTAATTTTTATTCATTTTTAGTTGGCAAGGGTTGTATTGCCTAAATTATACTGGACAAAAATCTACTAAGAATATTTGCAAACTTTTGTGGTAAATTAATGAAATCATTTAACTAAAAACATAAGGCATGAAAACAGTCGTGGGCAGCTCTCATTCTTTTTTTGCAGTTACCTGGAGACAATGTCAGTGAATTATGTTTGCAGGGATTACTACCACTGCTGGTTCTCCACTGAATCAACATTTGGTATCTTGCAATTGAAGCTCAACATTCAAGGTCTTACATCCCCAAACTATTATTGCTTTATCACCCTCTATAGACACTCCTATATATAAGCACACCTTCCTCTTCTTGCTCAGAGTTTGGGGAGCAGGTGGGCTCATAACAAGCCTCCTGGGTGATAGGAATGGCAGTGATGAGACTAGCTTCTCGGCCCAGACGTTTTTTCTCTTCTTCTTGCTGCAGGTTCTTCAGAATGTGCTCTGCTCGTTGATGAGAACGTGATACTGCCCGGGCTGAAAATGATTTCTGTGCCAAAGGGTTACAAAAAACATGGTGCAGTTGGCTTGGGTATTAAGCACAACTAGTGCAAAATATTAGTTAGTTAGTTAGTTAGTTAATAGTTAAATGGAGACCATGAGTGTCCTGACAAAATCTGTGAAAAACAGAACTCAACCTAATTTCCATCACATCTAGGGAAACTTCTGAAACATCCAAACTGGCTGCATATCTGAAGCCAGTTGAGTTAAGGCTGCAATCCTATGTACCTTTACTTGGCCCCAAACCCCATTAAATGCACAGTGGGTCTTCACTTCCAAGGAGACATATATAGGATTGCACTGCAATTCCCAGCACTGCTGTCTAGATGGTATCCTGAGTAGTACTGATGTTTACTGGCACTAAGTAGTTTCTTTTATTTTGTATTGTGGGATGGTTCAACCAACTGTGGTGGCAGCTAGTGCATTCCAATCTCGGTTCAAAATGCAAATTTTTCCTCTAAAGCCCTATGTTGTCTTGGTCTCTATATGAGATCATACACTACTTGAAACATTCAAGGAATAGTCCCCAAACAGGAAAATGGCAGAGGAGTGGGGTTGTGCTGACAGAGAAGGGTCTTTTCAAATCCAGTTTATTGGAATTCATTTACAGGTGATCTCAGGCCTCCTCCCATGCCAAGTCAACCAATAAAATACAGGGAGACATCCCTGAATTTTTCAACTTTTTGCAGCTTTTAATTGTTCAAAACTGGGGAGCTTTGGTATTAGGCAATATGAAATGTAGCAAATATAATTAATAAGTTTATTGTTATTATGTGCCATCCAGTTGTCTCTGACTTATGGCAGCACCATGAATGTAAGCCCTTCTAAATGTTCTATCTATGATAGTTCTGCTCAGCACATCTAAGTTCAAGGCTATGGTTGTATAGAACATAAATAAATGGATCTTGCCCATGAAGTAAAACCCAAATTTAAGCAAGCTCAATGGAAAAGCCTGTATTTTTTATCACCATCAACCAGGGGCTCAAATAATACATACATGCAAGGATACACACAGTATTTTGGTGAGGGACCCTGCTTGTTACAGCTATTTGTACTGAGTGATTTGATGAGATTAGATTTGTACTCTACCCTTCTATCAAGGAAAGGGTACGCAAGGCAGCTTAAAATCATGGATAAGTTCAAACCTTTAATTTAAACCATAATAAAACAAACAATTAAAATACAGTAACAGAATTCAATGATTCTAATGAGAGCTGAAATCAGTGGAGAAAGTAAGGTTGTAATATAGCTAGACTTGGACTTAAATGTGTCAATCTCAGAGCATACTTCCCTGCAAAAATCCAAAAAAAGGAGAGAAAGGGCAAAATAGATGTCCAAAGGAGAAACTAAACCTAAAACTAAGTAGGACTAAAAATGCTGAGTGGATCCATAATGCTATTGGGGTGGGTAGGTAGAAAACTGAGGAGGGGGAATAGAGTGCATAGGCTGGAACACTGAACAGAAGTATGCCACATGGAAACCATTTTGTTCTGGGGTCTCCTTGTCATTCAAACTTGGTCATCTAGAGGAGATCTGTAGAATTCCTAAACTTATTTTTTTTTTAATTTAGACCAGTTTTTATCAATCTAGAAAATGGGTCCTCAAACTACGGCCCGCGGACCGGATCCGGCCCACCATGCCCATTTATCTGGCCCACCTCAGAAGTTTTGGAGGCGCCATGCGTGCGTGTGGAGCAAGGCAACAGCTTTCTTGTGCGGCAATCATTTTGGACTTGCTTGGAGAAAACAATCTCCACGCGAGCAAGCCGCTGCCTCGCCCCACACCCCCCTGCCCCGCCTCACCCCCTGCCCCCGTGTGTGCATCCCCGTCCCCTCACAGGCCCGCGCACCCCTGCTGGCACTGCCTTGGTGGCCCGCACCCACCGCTGGCACCTTTCAACTGGCCCCCTGTTGAAAAAGTTTGAGGACCCCTGATCTAGAATGTCTCTTGTCAGCAACAGCATTTCTTGAATTCAGAGTATTGGCATTCTACATTTTATCTCTGGATTCAGTTTTTTGGAGTGAAATATTTTAAATAGCTGTTATAATACATATTTATAGTTATGTTTATAATATAATATTTCAGATTAGGCAGATTATATACTAATTAATATACCTATTGATAATATTAATATTCTACCACTAAGAATAATGAACTTCATAAACACACCAACAATAATGACAAGGAAACCAATTCACACTATTATGTTTCAATGTTGCATCAAATTTATATCTTAAAATGTAGACACCTCCTACAAAAAGAAATACGTCTTTTTTTCATCACCTTCTCACTATTCCCACAAGCAGGGTACTTGCTGTAGTATTCTTTTTACTTACGGATTGATCTTCATTAATGGGGTCCTGCACACTTCCACTGCACTGTGGAACCCATGGAGGATCAAACATGGGGACAGATGGCATTCCCAGTACCGGGGATGGTAGGGTAAAATTAATGCTTGGTGGAGGAATCTAGAAAAGCATATCAAGGGTAAAGAATAGATCACCATCTGTACTGAATATCATTTCTTCAAGGAAGGGGAAATGTTCCAAAGTCCAAATATGAAAGACCATTTAATTCTATTCAAGGAATAAAGGAAGGTTGCTTACCTGTAACTGTCATTCTTCAAGTGGTCATCTGTGCATTCACACATATGGGTGCTGCACCTGTAGAGTGTCTACATTTGGGAAGATTCTCTGAGCTAGTAACATTTTTGACGGGAACTCTGCTCCCCCACCCCCTCATATAAATAGGCAGAGTCCCTGCACTATAGCCAGTCCAGCTGGAGACCAACCATTTGCCGCAACTGGTACCGACATGATAGAACATGCTAGACATGAGAGAAACAGATTACATCATATGAACTGATTCACAGACACTGATGTGGGGCTGGCAGGTGGGTTGTGTGAATGCACAGATGACCACTTGAAGAATGACAGTTTCAGGAAAGCAACCTGCCTTTCTTTGTCATGGTCTCTGTGCATTACACATATGAGTGACTAGCAAGCTTACCAAACTTGGAGGCTGGATGATGTTGTTACTGCAGGACAGTCAAAAGGAGGGCATAGCCAAAAGAGCAGTCCATTCTAGCCTTTACATCAAGATGGTAATGTCTGATAAAAGGGCATGGGGTGGACCATGAAGCAGCTTTGCATAAATCCTGTACAGGTACAGGTCTTAGCCATAGCTCTGGTCGAATGGCCCTTTGGAAGGATTGGCAAGTCCAACTTAGCAAGTTGGTATGAATGCTTTATGGTTTCGATTAACCATTTCGGCAAGCATTGGGATCCTATCAGTGTTCCTCTGTCATGTTCAGAATACTGTATAAACAGTTGTTTGGTTTCCCGGAACGGTATGGTTCAGGATCTATAAAAAGTGAGTGATCTGTGGACGTTGAGTGGAGTGACCATTCAATTGGTGTCAACAGTACATACACATGTGAATATGCTGGTAACATGATATCTTGATTAAGCTGGAATGTTGTCGCCACCTCTGGGAGTTTAGATATAGTGGGTCAACTCAAAGGGTGCATAGTTCACTCACTCCCCTGGCTGAAGTTACAGCCAGCAGGAAGGCAGTTTTCCATGACAGTAATCTTAAGTTGGTGGAGGCTAACAGTTTGAATGGAGGATTTGTTAAAACCTGTAGGACTACTGACAGACTCCATGTCAGTACAACCAATCGGATTGGAGGGTGTAGGTTTTGGAGTTCTCTTAGGAACCAACATGTGAGTTGATGTTAGAACACAGACGAACCTTCTATAGGTCCTCTATGGTACGATATGGCTGCAAGATATACCTTGATGGACAAGGGTTTCAAACCCCCTTGATGTAGCAAGAGAAGAATATTCTTGATGGTTGCAGATTCAGGCAAGAAGTTGTTACTGCTCACAAAACATGTGAAGCATGTCCATTTCGAGCTATATAATTGTCAAGTATTTGGGCGTAGGGCTGAATGTAAAATGTACTGAATATCTGGATGCAGAGTTGTCATTTCCGAGCTCAGTATTGGTACCAAGCTCAGTGTATTAGTCATGCACTTAGTTTCAGCGTGTGCAAGTTGGAATGTCAGATCCTGCCCTGTTGTTGAGTGAGAAGGTTAGAAATTTCTGGCAGGTGTATGTACATCCCTTGTGACAGCTGAAGCAGGGTTGGGAACCAAGCCTGACAAGGCCACCATGGAGTGATCAGTATGCAGGTGGAGTTGTCTTGTCTGATCTTCGCTAGTGCCTTCATTATCAATGGTATCAGGGGAATGAATAAAATAGAGAATTGTTCCATGGGATCATGAATGCATCCCCTAGGGAGTTCTCTCCTGTCCCTGATCTGGAACAGTATCGCACATCCTGTTCTGATGGGTGGCGAACAGATCTATCTAGGGCATTCCCCACTGATCAAAGAGGTGATGACAAATTTCTCAGTCAAGTTCCCATTTGTGTGTTGTGGACATGTAGCAGCTCAAGGAATCTGTTTCCTCATTTTCGATGCCAGCCAAGTTAACTGCTTGTATGCCCATTCCATGGTTGATGCACCAGTACCATAGATGAAGAGCAAGGTGCGCAAGCGGAGCTGATCTTGTTCCTCCCTGTTTGTTCATGTAGAACACGGTAGAAATGTTGATTATTGCTATCTGTATGGTCTTGCCCCTCAAGATGGTTTCAAAGGAGAGGAGAGCTTTGAAGACTGCCAATAGTTCCAAGTAATTGATGTGTCTCATTCTCTTGTGACCATGCCAGATGCCCTGAGTTTGGTAGGATGCATAGTGAGCACCCCATCTGGTTAGAGATGCATCTGCGTAGAGTGTGGCAGTCAGGTCCAGTGGTCGGAATGGTTTCCCTTGGATCAGCTTGAATTTGACTAGCCACCAAGCACAATATTCCCAGCACTGAATGCAGAGGTTTGAGCAGTGGTATGGTGGATCAAGTTTGGGATGGAAGATGCAATTGAAACATAACTGCAATGGTCTCATTCATAGCCTCACATATGGGACTACGGATACCGTGGAAGCCATGTGTCCGAGAGTTTGTTGAACGGAGCAAGCAGAGCTTGTGTTCCTGGGCTGTAATCTTAGGATGGATTTTGTCAGCTTTTTTCTCTGTTTTGCTGGCAAGTAGACTTGCACTTTTTTTTTTTTGGCTCTGGCCTCTTGGCAGAGCAGCAGAGCAGCAGAGGCAGAGGCTGGGAGAGAACACTGAGTGGCCAGGGGACTGGTGAAGGCAAGGTAGGAGCTGGGCAGCAAAGCAGAGGGCCAGGAGCAGCAGAGAGGAAGGGGGCGGGGCCAGAGAGGCTAGAGGGGCCAGGAGGAAGCAGGGGGGTGGGGCGTTGTCCCTTGGCTGCGTCCCTTGGCGGTGACCCGGGCTGTCCGGAGACTCCCTTCCCTGAGACACAGGGGTTTGATTGTTTGTTTGTTTGTTTTGTTTGTGCTGTGCTTTGTTTTTCTTCCAATTTAAATTTAAGTTTATTTTATCCTTGTGTGTGTGTGCGAGTGGGTTTTTGCCTGGGAGAACTGGGCAAGTGAGAGGAACTGCAGGACAGACAAGGCAGGGGACCAAGGTAAGGTCTCGGAAGGGACACCGATGGCAGACCAGGAGATGGCCTTGGCGGGAGTCACGGGTGTTGCTGTCCGCTGCGAGAGCTGCGACATGTTCGCCCTTCTCCCCCAGGAGAGGCAGGGATACACTTGCCCTCCAAGGAAAGGAAGCAGTGGGAAGGAGTTGAGGTGCATGTACACCAATGCTAGGAGCATGGGTAATAAGCAGGAAGAGCTTGAAGCTCTCCTGGGAATAGGAGGGTATGATCTGGTTGAAATCACAGAAACTTGGTGGGATGAAAGGCAAGTCTGGAATGTGAACATAGAAGGGTATCACCTTTTTAGAAAGGACAGGAAGGGAAAGAGAGTTGGGGGTGTGGCTTTATATGTCAGTGAAGGGATAGGATGCAGTGAGATTGAATGCAGCACAGATGGAGATTCGGTAGAGGCAGTCTGGGTGAAACTTAGGGGTTTCAACAGGAAAAGAGACCTGACAGTGGGGGTATGTTATCGCCCTGGATGATGTCCTGACAGGCCAGATTCTAAGGATATCTCGGGGGAGAGACACAGTAATTATGGGAGATTTCAATCTCCTGGATATTACTTGGGAGACTCACTCGGCAGTGACAGCCGGGTCACATCGCTTCCTAGAAGCTATTGAGGGAGCGTTTTTCACACAGAGGCGATGAGGGGGGGAAACATCCTTGACTTGGTCTTGACCAACAGGGAGGAGCTGATAGATGAAGTACAGATTAGGGGAGCTCTGGATGCGAGTGATCACTCCATCCTTTGCTCTGAGATCAGGGGACTGGGGACGGGCAGCAGGTCGAGCACTAGAAGCTGGGACTTCAATAGGGTCAACTTTGGCCAACTGAAGGTCAGACTGGGGAAAGTCTCCTGGGATAGGTTACTGGAAGGTAGGCAAGTTGAGGAGGGGTGGATAGCACTCAAAAGGGAGGTTTTGGAGGTGCAAGCCTTGATGATACCTCTAGTTAGTAAGGTGGGGAGGCAGAGGAGAGTGCCGCCATGAATGCGAAAGGAGGTGGTTAGAGGGATTAGACGAAAGAGGAACCTCCATAAGAAATGGGTACTGGGGGAAATAGACAAAAGGGTATACCGGGAGAAGGAGGCCCATTGCAGAAGGATTCTTCGCAAGGCTAAGGCTGATTACGAGCTGAGACTTGCCAAGAATATCAAGAGCAATATAAAGGGCTTCTTTCAGCATGTAAATAGGAAGAGGAAGGGGAGACAAGTGGTGGGACCACTAAATAAGGAGGAAGGAGATCCAGTGACTGATATGAGGGAACAGGCACAGATGCTAAATTACTATTTTGCCTCTGCGTTCTCCCCAAAGCAGGACAGGGGATATCCACATAGGAGATTAGATGAGGCTGGGGACTTAGGGGCACAGATTAGAGTCACCCCCCTTGAAGTCGAGGGGCTCCTCAGGGCACTGGACATTACAAAGGTGCCAGGCCCTGACGGGTTACACCCGAGAGTACTTAGAGAGTTGGCAGGGGTTCTCTCACACCCGCTGGCCTCCATTTTTGAGACCTCGTGGAGAATGGGTGAAGTTCCAGAGGACTGGAGGGTGGCATCAGTGGTCCCAATTTTCAAAAAGGGTAGTAGAAAGGACATGGGGAATTATAGACCAGTTAACCTTATGTCCATTGTAGGAAAAACAATGGAAAGGCTCATAATAAAGAGAGATCTAGTGATGCTAGATAGGGAAGGGAGGCTGACAGACACACAACACGGCTTCCGCAAAAGCAGGTCCTGCCAGACAAACCTTGTGGAATTCTATAAAAAGGTTTTGCAATGACTAAATGGAGGGGATGCAGTGGATGTGGTATACCTGGATTTCAGCAAGGCCTTTGACAAAGTGGCCCATGATATCCTGCTTGAGAAACTGAGGAGTTTTGGGATACACCAAAGCACTGTC